AGAGAGAGAGAGAGAGAGAGAGAGAGAGAGAGAGAGAGAGAGAGAGAGAGAGAGAGAGAGAGATTATACATAGAAAATTAGTCAGAACGACAACTTCATCGCTTGTCGTTTTTTCGAACTCAGACTCCGGAATATATTCCGTTTACCACTTTACAACGCCTGAACGCTGTCACATACAGTGAACAAGAGTTGTTACAATTTAATCATAAACTTCATCAAAATTCGCTGTTTATATAATACATAATGTGTATACATCTATTGGAAAATTTAGCTATTAAATACAAAGACACATAGTCACAGAGCCGCATGCATACAAGTTAAGTAGTTTGTGTTGTGCTACTGCTATTCATTTATGTTATATTTTTTTGTTGTTGTAGTTCTATCTTTTTCTTTACATTCTCTATCTGTATCTATTTGCATTTCTCTTTGGCCACTCAATTTTATTGAAAATTATGGGAATTTATGAGTACAAGCACCGCATGCATATACTGCAACAAGAGCAAATAAACAAATGAGAAAAGTTACACGGGATTTACCCGAGTTGTCATAAATATTAGTTTAATGAAGAGTCTTATGGTTTTTTTTGTGTTGTGAAAATTCGTCCCGTGCAACCCTTTGCCTCACGAATATTGTTTGTGTGCAAGACAGCATCCAAATTGTATGATTACGAATAAAGCCAGCCAGCATCATCACCCAATGTCATCCAACCAACCAGACACAAACATGCACACCCACAAAGTGAGATGAAGAGAGAGAGAGAGAGAGAGAGAGAGGGGGCGTGAGAGAGAAAGCTAACAATCGTGTATTAAAGATTAATTTTGTCACATTAATTTTGTCACCTTGTGCATTTGTTTATTCGTTTCGCCAAACACATGATATGACGAAGCTTGGGATAACAGCATCACCCATTGCATTCTCTTCAACGATGATGGGCTTCACTATCTCTAGCATCATCTCTATCTTTCTCTTTCACACTTTCACTTTCTATACCTCTCTATCTCTATCTCTGTTCGGCGCTGACAAATGCTACGACAAGTTTCTTGACTTTATTCAATATTTACACAATTGTAAAAGCCATTTGCATTTAGCACTTTGGATGGCAACTTAATACAGAAGTTTGACCCCGTCTGATAAGCAGATCTATGGCTGAAATAGAAATTCATATCCAGATGCATTCACTTCTCACTTCTTGAATATTGTTTGTTTGTTCGTTCATTCGCTTCAGACTCATTGGCATATACGTATACACACTGTGCAATATCTCACAATTTTGTTTCTTCATTTACATTAAATGAGAGACTTAACAAAATGATTTTCCACATTTTGAATGTGTTTAGATGATGTTGAAAATTACATCTTTATTTCCATAAAATTCAAAGTGTTTTGTCTTCAACTACTTGTAATTGTGATACGTGTGTATTTCAACTGAATTGACAAAATTCATTGAACTTGATAGTTTGGCATGTTAAGCTCATAAAAATGACTTTATCACTTTTCGATTTTTGTGCGTTCAATTATTAAGAGAAGTTTCGGACGCACGAAAAGTGATTCTTATTCCAAAAATCGATTAATGAAACAAAATCCAGAGGTTTCTTTTTTGTTTAAAGAAATAAATGACGTCCGTTCTGTATATATATTTTTCTTCGATGCTTTGCTATTGTTTCATATATATTTCGTGGCAAAATGTCTAAATAAATGGAATCCTCTTTCATTGCCACCCCAATATCGACTTTGTATCTTGTTGACTTTTCGAATCTGCTCTCGCACTTTTCGTTTTTCACACATACACGTTTAAACACTTAGTGTCTTTCTTTTTTCTCTCGGCACATACGAAACGACGATGAGCGATTTTCTTTTATTTGTGGGAGATGCTACATTCAATTATTGGCGCAAAGAAGAAGAAAAAAATGCCTGACACACGCAACCTACGGCTTATAAAGCTCAAAACTTATTACATATATATAGAGATATATTGTGTGTGTCCAGATGATATTCCACCGTGTTTTTTTTGTTCTTGGGTTTTGCTCATTTTTTTTTTTGGTCATATTTCTTACGAAATATTCAAATAGAGTGTGGCCACCAAACAACAGCAAACATATATATACATATACATATATTAAGCTTACACTTTGGAGTGTTGAAAGTGACGCGAATAACGTACACAGAGTAAGATGAACAGAGAGGGAGAGAGAGAAAGTAATAATAATAAGAAGAAAATATTAGTCTAAGATCCACTCAGACTCGGTGAGTTATGATGTAAATTTTTCGACGTTATATTTTTCATAAACTTCAATCAATTTGGTTGGTCGTCTATGTACGACCTGAACGACCTGACTCGACCGAAATGTGAGCTTTTTATTAGAAAGACAACGTGTGGAAAAGAAAAAAAAAACAAATGCTTAGATGATAGAATTTTTTTTTGTTCTCCGTTTCTTTGCACAAACATACGAATACATACACGTTGGTACAGGCGTTTGAGCAAATTCGATTTTCCACTGAATGAAAGAAAAACAACAGTTTTTTCTTCTTCTTCTCATTTTTACTTCCGAATTTGTCTTGTTTATTTGCACATTTATGTTCTAAATCATTTCGTTGCCTTTCTTCTCATCTTCATTACGTACCTTTCTATTTATCTCGATTTATTTCATTTCTATGCTATTAACGACACATATTTCGATGAAATATTTTTGCTTTTAATCGTCTCTAATCGGAGTTACATGCGAAAAGTTTTTCGAACTCAAACAAAAAAGAAAACACAACCAACAAACTAACAACTATGAATCATTAGCTCATACGAAATGTAACTATTAAACGGTCAAATCAAAAAGACAATAAGATGTGTGCGTGCAAGACCTGTATTCGAAAATATCAAATAAAATACGTTATACCATTTATTTTCTAGGTGTTCACATAAAACCACTATAATATGGTCGACGTTAACAACACACCGAAATCTATTTCACTTCTCAAACAATTGTTGTAATTATTTTTATATTATTCTATTTATTTCGTTAGTTCATCGTTGGTTCATGATTTTTGTTTCTCGATTTCTATCTATCTCTCTCGTTCAATATTTACTACAGTACATTGAATTAGAAAAACAAAACACTTCAAAAACCGTTTACGTCCAAAAACACAAAATGCTATGCTTTCAAATATTGAAATAAAGTTGTGGCAAAAGGATAATTAAATGAATAAATGAATGAACTAACTACAGTTAAGCACATTTATATACACGCAAACACACGCACACGTACGCACACATGGACAACAGCAAAGAGAGCGAGTATACTGATAGTTATAAGACCAAAGCAAGCAAAATATTCTCGAATATTAACCTGTTGCAAAATTACAATAATGGTACGGTAAGGATCTATCCAGGCGAAAAAATGGCGATGATGATGATATGATGATATTTTTTATTTGTTGTATTTCATTCGTTCGTTGGGACTCTCTCACTATTTAGTAATGTATGTTGTTGCACTGTTTGGTTGTCGTCGTTTACAAGTCTCTTCAAATCGAGACTCTGTATCTATAAGAGTTCATATTTGGTCCATGAGCTAAGACAAAATCAACAACCGATTGCATGAGAGGTATGTGTGTATTTGTATATATATAAAAAAAAAGTGTGTACACAGTTGGTGGATTTTTGAAAACGAGTTGTTGCTTCCCTCTCTATTGTTTGCTTTGTGGAAATTTGCTCCGCGCCACGTTCTTGTATTACTTACATAACAAAATCAAATTAAACCGTGTGTGTTTCGTTTTGTTTAGTCTATTATTAATCTATAACAGTGATTAATTTGTGAAACAAAAAAAAAATAATTTGCAATGTTCAATTCACATAATTTGAAAGAGAAAGAGATCGCGGACACGAAAATGCAGCACATTCGAAACCACCACATTCACATACATACACTATGCACCATTTGTTTTCAAAAGAACAAAAACCGTGAATAACCACCAAATTTAAGAAAAAAAAAACAGAAATTTGCTAACCGCACAAACCGCAACAGTGTCAAATAACGGGCGACAAAATTTGATGTGGTTATTTTTATTTTTTATTGTTTTTTTTTTCAATATACATATATATTTTTCTGTATTCTATTTCGAAATTAATGAGAAAAATGATAAAAACGAAAATGATAAAATAAAATATGCAACGATGAATTAATGAATATGACGGTAGAGCAGAAAAATTATGACAATACGTATTAACGCACGGCAACCGAAAAGCAGACTATTATGCTTAGCGAGCATACGAAATGGAATTGCTTAACTTTGATAGATAATGTACAACAGGCAAAAAACGAAAGGCCAAAAACACATCATATACGAATATATGGTTCGGTGAAACGGTGGGTACACAATCGTCGATGTCGACGTCGATGGAAACAGAGACAGCAACAACAACAACAACAACACACCAAGCACCATCAGCAGCAACAATTGGTAAATAGCATTGCAAACACATCAACCAGCGAGACAGAGAAGGAGCGAGAAGCAAAATAAAAAAAGAAAAGAAAAGAAGAACAACCGTACACCGAAACTCACGCAGAATTTTGTAGCAAAACCGAACTGTCTGTTCGAATGTAACGAATCCCCTCAGATTGTATATGTATATATATTTTATACATGTACAGGGCTTTTACGGAGATCCTTTTATGTATTGTACAGTCTGAGCATTTTTCAATGTCTTCGTCCTCTGTACGCTCTGCTGGGTCACACACTATGTGCTGGCTGACTTTCTGTATGCTGTGTGTGCAAAGCTTTCAAACAAAACTGAAGTGAATTATAACGACACTCGACTCACTGCTCACCGTTTCGCCAAAAAAAAAACACACAACACACAACATAATATGAAATCAACACACAGAATTCCTTCGCAACGCGCGCCAACCGAACGATTCCCAATGTCTTTCACTCTATAGCACATAATATCACACATTCGTACATAAACCTCATATCTCAATACATACGCACACCGACAACCGTGTAGATTCATAATATAACATTCATCGTATCATCAAATCTAAACATAGTATATGTACACACGTACATTTACTCTTGTTTGCACAGTCAAAAAGCACAACCGTGGAATTCAAATCCCTGGATGCTTGCGAGGGGAATACATATATATATATATATATATATATATATATATATCATCATTTGATACAGAGAAGAAGAAAAAATTTATACATAGAAATATATACACATCGTAACCATACCAATTTCAACATTTATTTCGCATTTTAATTAAACACCATACTTATTTTATAATAGAAAGTAGTCAAGCCTAATTTTTTTTGTTTGAAATTAAATTCGCAAGCACACGAACATGAAGTATAATAATACAATTTTGATTGAGCAAGATCATGCGAATTATGTTTTTTTCTTCTTCATCAACTCCAGTTTAATGAAATTTTCATTTTGAATGTCAAGCATTTTTATATTAAAATGGTTTGTTTTTTCAACCGTTCAAAATGAAATCCTAGGAAAAATACTGCGACTTTTTTTGCCGTTGTATAAATTTAAAAATCTAATTTGAAAGTCATTTCATATATATATATTTTTTCGTTTAACATAAAATGTCATTTTTTTTCTTGCCTTCGTATAAAAACAATTGTTAACTGAGTTCTTCAAGACAAATTCCGTAATTTTTCTGTCAGTTAAAATTAAGAGGCATTTAATGTTTGATTAATGTTTTTCTCTGTGATAACTGGAATTAATAAACAATTTTTATGATTAAAATTAAAATTAATGAGATCAAGTGATTTTTCAAAATGAAAAAATAGAGAGAGAATGAAATGATGTATATGTATGAAATAAATCGTTAAACCATCCCACAATTATGCCATTTATCGTACATAATCTGTTGATTTTTGTCCGGTTCGATGTGTTCATCAAAATTTTGATGTGTTCAGTCGGTTAAGGTAACGATAAAAAAATATATATGATGAAATAAAACAAAAAAAACTTTGTTTAATCCTTGTAAAATCTATAAAGTCTGGTTGTACTTTATAATTTTTCCCCCATTTACCATATTTACCGACGGCATGATTCCGCGTTGGAATCCGATCGGATTGTGTACACATATATAATATCGATGACCGAGAACTTGCTTATACGTATGTACTCTGACGTATCTATAGGCATGGTGTTCTTTTTACATTTCAAAGGTAAATTTTGAAATGAATGGTGGGAGAAAAAAGAGAGAACCGTGTGCAAGAGTGAGAAGAAGAACGTGCATCAACCATTTAGAAGGTTTTTCTTTTAAATGAAAAACAGAGCAAACATGTTGCCGCTTCCTAGAAATAATGAAAATCAAAACCAAACCATTCAACAATTTTAGATGTGTGGGGGTAAACGAGAGTGAGGTTGTAATTGAGCGATATTTTTGATTGAATCAAATTTTGTTTTTGCCGTATGATTACACAAACCTTTTTACCTAGTATATTACAACATTGGCCTGAATTCGATAAATTATTCCATTGTTGTTTGAGCTTTTATGATTGATGTGCTGGTTGGTTGTTGTTGGTTAGGAAATGATGAGGGCAAATGTTGCTTTGAAGCTATTAAATTCCATTCGATCAATTGAAAATATTTTCTTTACAAATTGGCATTCGAATGGTGAAATGATGGATTTTAGCATTGCTGTATTGTTTTGTCATTCTCACAAGCAATAGTTATGAAATAAAAGTCGAAAAACCATTAATACAGCAGATTGGCATTAAGAAAATTAAATCGACCCAAAGTTTCTGTTGTTCTCGCACAGACATCAACGCATAAAAGTATCTTTGGTGCAGAGATTGACACGTTCTCTGCTGTTTGGAAATTATCGAAAACATGATCGAATGCTTACTAGGGGTAAATCAGTACTAGAATAATCATTTTTGTCTAAAGTAGATCTACGTTGTAAGCAGTAATCCATACTAATCTGCAGTAATACACACTTATGTAAATTCTAAAGCAGTGCAATGACGCTTTATGTGTACATTGTATAAAGCGATCGTGGTATATTGCGGATTGAAACAAATTATTGTTGATTATTTTAAATAAAAAAATGCAAAATATCGAATTTTGATCAAAATTGGAGGATACACTGTATCAAAGAATTCCTGTTCACATTAAAAACACTTTCGAGTACGTAAAAATCTATATGTGTTTTTATAATTTTCTAACAATTTAATTGTGCTATAGTTTCTACACCAATTTCTAATTTGGACCAAAATTCGATATTTTCCATTTTTTTTTATTTAAAATAGTCAACGATAAATTGTATCAATCCGAAAAATACGGCGATCGCTTTATGCCTAACAAATGTCATACATAACGTACAAATGAAATTTACGTAAGTGTGTATTACAATGGATTAATATGGATTACTACTCACAACGTAGAATTACTTTAGACAAAATTGATTATTCTAGTACTGCTCTGCCCCTCTGCTCACGTTCTCTTTGACTTTGGCCGTCTGTTTCTCAGATCGTATAGGTGACATTTTCCATGCTCTACCGAAATCACAAATCAATATTATGATTATGACATATATTGTATTAACGAAGTCGGTCAGATTAATTGAAAGCTAAACTTACGTGAATAAATGCATAAATTATGGCGTTGATTTCATCAATATATTATTCGCTTGAAAACATTTCCCGAAATCTCATTCAAAATTGGACGACGTTATAAAAATTTCATGAGTTTTTTGTATCAACATTAATTTTCAATCAATATGAATGAAATTCAGTACACGAAACACACCCACACAAAATATCACACAAAACTATTATAGAATTTGCTCTAAGCTCGATTTCGGCAAAGTCTTATACATTTTTGTACCTGCAGTATGGCATATCGATAAAAACTAAAACAATGAACAAAATCGAGAGAGTGATCCTTAGATGTTACACTGATCGTGTGTAAACTAACACTTTTCGTTTCAAATAATTGCCTAAAAATATGATAAAATCTTTGATTGTAGATTTGAAGCTCTCTTTGGTGTAGATGATAAAATAATTCAAAGTCAAACCATACGCTTCTTTAAAATGACTTTTTTTTAATCAAAGCGATGACTTATGACTGAGGAAATACACATTTTTTTTATTCGAAGTTTTCATTTTCGCGTTCAGTTTAGAAGAAATTATCACAAATTTGACAAGTTTCTGTAAATCATACATCGGTCGATAATTAAGAGAGGAACATTCAAAATCCCTGGCAAAAAAGTGGAATTCATTTTACTCGGATCAGATTCGATAAAGGGTGGATAAAAAATCCCTAGCAAATCGAAATATTTTTAGTAAAACATTTTTACTCATTGAAAAACCATCACTAGAACCATCACAAATCAAAAGAATTGTGCCATCACATACTAAATTAACGAATCAAAAAGGTTATTCACTTTCTTGCCGAAAACTTCAGCAAATTGAAAGAAATTCTTAATTCCTAGGGGCGGGTGTAGCTCTAACGATTCACGGGTCTTAGGGAGAAAACTTTTGTTACACAAAAATGACAAATTTTACACAAAGTATCAAATTGGTAAAATAGATGAAATGATTGGATTGGTGTGTAAAATGCAAATAACGATTTTTACAAAAAAAAAAAAAAAATATTTTTACATTTTTGAGTTTGGATTTAATTTAACTTAACAAAAAAAGTTTAAACTCAAAACACACGAGAGTAGTAAAATAATATGTGACTGCACCATTTTAATTGCGACAACAGCATCCACCATTTTAATTTTTTATTAGTTCGATTGATTCGTATGCAATGCGACGAATTTTCTAGAAAATATTTTTTTTTCTCTCCTTCATTTCGTTTCTTCAAATTGTTCCCCCGCCAGGGCTATCAATGAAATTCAATTCAAACTTGAAAAATTATCGAAACATTTACTTTATTTTTTCCTCTCTTTCATTTCGTTGCTTCAAATTGAAATTAAAATAAAAATTGGAATCCAAACTCAAATTTTTTTTTTTTTTTTTTTTTTTTTGAAAAAATCGCTATTTGCAATTTACACACCAATCCAACATTTCATCTATTTTGCTAATTTGATACTTTGTGTAACATTTGTCACTTTTCTCCCCCCTCTGCCCATGTATGTTGTAAACACAAATTGTTTCCGCGTGATATTTTTGCA